ACGGCCGGCTTTAACCAAGTCCTGAATTATGTCCAAGTGCTGTGGGATTTCCGAGCCCCCTCTCACAGCTCTGCAGTGTACAATGGAGCTGTCGAAGCACTAGCAACTTTTCTGAGTAAGTTAATGTCTAAACATTGATCACAAAGGCAGTCTCTAAAGTTTTACTTGAGAAAGCTTTTAAAGTGCCATTCTATCGCAGGCACTCCAGGGAGCCACTGCGCACACTATGCCTTCCAGACCTCATTCTTTGATCTACAACAGTTCAAACATGAGCTATGCTGCTTTTTCTTTAGGACCAGATAACTAACTCTGTCTTAGCAGTATGCAGAAATTGTGCAAGTTACACAGACTTTATATCCAGTTGGTAAATCCATTCAGAGGCACTCGTGTGTCTTTGGATGAGGCTATTGGGTGGGGTTTTTTTCCCAAAACAGTATGGCACTGTTCCCATAACAATGCTATCAGCTTACACAGATGGGAGAAGTTATTCCTAAACATTTTACACCGAAAGAACATAATCCTCTAATTAAGATCTTTTTCTAGTGAAATAGTCTTGTGCAGTTGGAAAAAAAGAAGAATTTTAGTCATTGCAAGATGCAGAGATTTGCAGAAAAAGACCCATTGAATTCCTTATGCTACTGATGTTAAGTATTCCACTTTTGCACCAGGAGCAGATGCACAAGCAAAGTGAGGTTATCAAAAGGTAACATCAGACTACACCACCCTGCCTTGGCAGGGTTTCACATAATCACATTGTGCTGCTGTAGAGAACTTGCACAAGACTTTGGGGTGTGATCCACCAGGGAAAATAAACATGTCTACATCACACCTAGTCATTCAGGTTACCCTTACAGTCATTAAAGAGAAATAGATACTACTCTTGTCTTGAGGCAGGCAATTAAGTAGACCAACTGAAGCATAAATTAGAATATTTTTCTCCTTGACAAATTCCTCTTTGTCATGGAATTGCCTGTTTCTCCATGTAGAAATACAGAAGATATTAAATCATGTGGCTTATCTTTGCAACAGATGCATCTTCTAGGAGGCCCACCAAGAGCAAACAGTGCTTATCCTTTCTCGTTTCCTTCAATATACTCCCTGATACCTCACAAAATTCACTTTTTTGACAGCTTACCTCCTTTATGAGGTGCACAGAGCTAAATTGTTACATTAGCAGATTTACTAGCCTAGCTGTGCAGTAAGCTAGGAGAAGCTGTAAGAAACTTTTTGAGTTCCAAACTGTGTTCCCAGTTCTCTCTCTAGAGATGCGTGCTGGGTGCAGACAGCCAAATAATCCTTCTACATTACAGTCTATCCTGTCAAGTGGAATAAAGCATTAAGAACTAAGGCAGAGACGTGATTTATGCAGTTGTCTAAAAGTGACCAGTCATCTGCATGGCTGCAGAAGTAATTAGAAATGCTTTCAAATTTCAGAACTACTCTGCATCATTATTCAGCATTGCCTTTTGGCACGTGAGGGTGGCAAGATTTGGTGATACAGGCTATGGAACACATACAACATTTACACATTTTTCTCTTTTTCTAGGCTCAGTAACGTCTTTCCTAGTACAATATATGAAAATTAACTGGGACCTGTTTGGAGAACTGGCTTTAGGGATCTTCTCTGCGGTAGATGCCGGTTCTCTGTTTCTCATGCACTTCTCTACCAACATCTGGGCGTGTTACGCTGGCTATCTCATTTTCAAGGCCTGCTATATACTCCTGCTGACAATAGCAACGTAAGTATAAAACCTGACAGTGCTGCCTTTATGCACAGAATGCTGACCCTACCTCGAGTTTGCTTTGGGCATCCTTCCTTTTCCTCAGAGAAAGAGGACCTAATGCTAGACATAATTGTGTAGGTAAATACAAGGACACTTAAATGTCTGATTATGTTGCTTTCGTTCTTCTAAACAACCACAAAAGAAAAATTATCAAAATTTTTGAATATTCATAAAATTGAATGTTTAACTAGGCAGAAGTTAAACAAAGTACAAGGTAACTTTAGTACTAAAGGGAATGGTAACAGCAAAATGCAGAAGCTGTTTTCCTTCTTTCTTGCAGGAAAGATGCAAAGTGAACAACAGGGACAAGCATACCTTGACAGCCATCCTATAATGTCTAGACCACCTGCTGATAAACCTTTTAGCATGCTATGAACTGCATGAATTCAGAAGAGATTTGACATAAAGCATTTCCCAGTGTAATTTTATACACATAATCCTTAAAGATATTAGGATGTAAAGAAGGAGTAAAAGAGAACACTGGACAAGATCTCTTAGGAGACCAAGCTATAATAATAATATTAATAGCAAATATTATATCTAATCTGTGCAATAAATATGTTATTACTCCAGTTATTTAATCGCTCGGAATGTCTTTAGACATACCACACTAGTTCATTAACAGATATACCAGATGCATTTTATGTCAAAGCTCAAAATTAGTCAGAAACCATTTTAAAAAACCTGCTAAAATTATAATGCATGGCAAGATTATGCCTGTCTCAAATGAAGCCAAGTGAACTCTTTGTTTTCATTTTGGTTTATTGCTACCACATTATAGTAAATCACACCTGAAGTATTTCAAAATATTCTACCAAAACAAAACAAAAACCAACCAACTAACCAAAACCAACAACAACAAAAAGAGTCAAAGCTTGCACATAAAAAACATGCTAAAATCAATTAAAGTGAGTCCTGAAGGAATAATACCCTTTTTTTCAGATATAAACTCTGCAGGTAGATATTGCAGGGAAAGATTTCTAACTATCATCAAAAAAGATATTGACAGTAAAATCTACAGGCTCTTGACAGAAATAAACAGCATGCTACCTCCACTGTCAAGCCCCAAAGCAAAAAGTGACTCACATCATCACAGAAAATTTGGTTGGAAGATACTCACAGTGACCTGCTGGTCTGACATCCCAGCCAGGGCAGAACTGCTGCCACTGCCAGATCAGGTCATGGCTTTGCCTGGCCATGGAGTCTGTGGGGTTTGAGAAGGAGCAAAAGATTAAAGAGAACTGATATTGTACCAAGCACCTGATAGTATGGTTTGGAAAAGCAGCACAGACAAGTAAAACAACCCCATCAAAATACACTATGGTACTAAAGGCTTTCTATTTTAGAGTAAGCAAGGAAGCAAACTAACAAATGAAGCACTGTTTACTGTGTCCTTGATGTATCATCTCCATGAATCATTTCTCTTCACTGACTGACTGGAGGGCAATAACTGGAAAGTCACTGACCTGCCAGTCTCACATTAGGTTCCAGATTGCCATCAATCTGAGCATGGAACGCTATGCTTTGATGTTTGGTTTCAACAACTTCATTGCCCTGGTGATTCAGACCATTCTTACAGTAGTTGTCGTGGATTCAAGAGGCCTGGGGCTGGACATAGTGACTCAGGTAAGTGCTATTACCTTATATTCTATTTACTGCTTTGCCAATCTGTCTTCAAAAGTTTACCAAGAAAGGTATTCCTATGCCAAAGGACAACTTAATTCCTTCTTTCTTCTATAGAAATCTGCACATCTTGTTCTTCTCACGTGTCAGTCATAATTCTTCCTTTTGCCTTTTAATGCATTTAGGATTACAGATGCTGGTCTTTGACTTTTTAAAAGGAGATACACCAGAACGTAATTATTCAGGCCCTGTTATCTGACCAGTTTTGGTCATTGATAGGACAGAGAATAACATCCTCTCTCCCTAAAAACTCAGAGTGGTTTTGTCAGATGCAGAATCAACATAACCACATGTTATCAGTGCTGTTCAAACCACGAGACACAGCCTGGATTACTGGAGTTATTTCAGCTCAAGCGAAAAGGACATCTGACTTCTAATTCCAGCTCAGGATCAAACCTGGTCTGTATCTCAACATGTGTAATAGTCTTCTGCCCATAGCCTGGGCACTTAATTTGGGATGGGATATCCTATCTCACAACAGTGGCTGAGATTTTAGCCAGCCCAATGCCACCCATGTTGAAGTCACCTGAGATGTACTGACTTCTGCATTTTCTCAGATGGGCTCTCAGCTGGGGCAGCTTCCTACTCCCTTGGATTTGAAGAAGACTAAAGCTATCCAAATATTCTGCACAAAGAAGGCCAAAGTTACTGTAAAAGAATAAGGATTGAATCAAACATTAAAAATTAAATCTTTAAAATGAAAGGCAGGAATATGTAGGACCTCATAAATAGCCTTGCCACTGTTGTTGGAAACAGTGATACAAAGTCACAGTGTATTTACAGAAACCACTGTGGTGACAGCGCTGAAATGTGCAAGTAAGAGCAAAACAAGGATGAACTCAGATTCTTCACTTACATTATTCATGACTACGTGGGTAACAAAACTAATTCTATATTTTGCACTAATAGAAAAAAATATCTGTTCCTATTCTGCTCCCCCTCTGATGTTTATTAAGAGGCATAAGGAATGGAAGCAAGGGGCAGTTCTTCATTCCACAAATATCTGCTGTTTGCTGGAAAAGCAAATCACAAAGCAAAAACTCGAACATAGAGAAACTGTGCCAGAACACGGGTAAAGAAAATCATAGTGTCTGCTGTCTCCAGAAGAAGCAGTATTTCCCTAAAGCATTTTTCATTAATTCTTCTGCCTTTTTCTCTCCCTCTCACAGTTTTTAATTTATGGCAGCTACTTTGCAGTCATACACGGGATTTTCATGATCAGAAGCATTTGTGTGCTTGTCTCAAGCAAATTCAAAAGGAAAATAGCAAGATGTTGCAAAGAGCAGCTGAACCATGCTGAGCATGAATCCAGAGAGCAGATTGTCACAGGCTATTTGACTCGGCTGTAGGAGGCAGGCAGGCTCCTTGGCCAGGCCCTCCTGGGAGAAGAGCTCAGGCTGCAGCATGCAGGGAACAGCAGTGCAAGAAGAACGTTCAACACAGCCCTGGAAAGCTGCGCTGAATCACTGCAGCACTTCAGCACAACATATGCCAGTTCATAGCTCACATAACGGCCCTGTGCCAAGAATAAAAGCTAAATTGCTTTAGATTCTTATTTACTTGCCTATAAAGAGCTTAACAGCAGTAATTTATACCCAGAAGCACAACCGCCACCTTTTCATCTCCTCCCTGTGTACGATAGCAAAGATCAGAGTTCACTCTGCCTTGTTGTTCTGGCTCCTGTGCGTGGCGCTGGCAAAGCTGCTTCCAACCACATTTGCTCCTGCACGTGGGTGAAGGGTCTGTCCTCCCTCTGCACATCCCTTGTTCTGAATCAAGGAAGAAAGGATTGTGTGTGCATCATTATATTCTTTCCTACCCAAGTGCAGGCAGATGGGTTGACAGGCTCCTCCTGCCTAATTGAACAGCCCACGTCAGAGGGGGCCTCGTGCAGGGTTTGCACATCCCATCCCAGGGGTTTCACTCCAACACTGCTAAGCCACAGTTGTTGCTTGACCCACATTTGAAAGCTGCAACTACTTCACTGACTTCATAGAAATCTCTGCCGAGAAGTGAGAAACTTCCAAGTCCAAAAAAAATGAAAAAGCCCCTCTCCTTTCCTCGTGCTCCCAGTAAAATTAAATTCAGGACTGACTTTCTATTTCAACAAGAAAAGAAAAAAGCTACCAAGGGGCTTAAGTAGTATGGACTAAAACGACAGAAGTACATTGTGGAGAAATATGGCTGATTCCACACAGGAAAATTCCAGATTAACAGGAATATCCAAGAAGATTTATAACTGAAACAAACATCATGTGTGCTTTTGAATGCCAAGTGAGGGAGGTCCACTGATCTTGGCCAAGAATTTGGCAGGGTCAGCATCTCAGAATTTATCAAGAAACTTCAAGTCCTACAGCTAATTTAGTCCAACACAAAGGACAGTTAGTCCAGGAGAAGAAACAAGAGACTATAAATGAGTTTTCATGGTGAATACCTAATTTAATATGATTGATATCCATATGCTAAAGTTATTTCTGTACTGCTATTTGCTTCTAGCCTCCAATACCTACACCTAAGTAATAAAAATAGAAAACATCTAGCATTTACAGAATAATATTTTTCCTGTAGAGACACAAGCTATCATTTGTACAGACATACCTGCTTTTTATACCAGTCACATATTGCAACTAGACAAAGTGCCCAGAGGTGAGGGCAGGCAGGAGAGAAGCAATTTGTTACAAGTCACAAGAAGGATCAGAAGGATCTGATCAAATGAACCTGGCTAGATTTTTTAGGCTTTTTGTTTACTGTTGTGCATGGTGTGGACATTCTCTATTGTAAACTGGCTCTAAGTAGAACAGTTTAATCAATGCAGTCATAAAATCAGATGTATTTAGTTGGCATTGAGCAAAGAGTATCTTTTATTATTGCAGAACTGAGAGCACGATACTCCTGCGTGAAGAAAGAGGGACAGAGTCCAGGAGAGCAAGGACTAATTTATTCTATTCTTCCTTGTGAGTAGGAATCTTCTTTTGAGGCATTTAGTTTAGAAGTAGGTGCCAGTCCTTTACTAGAAGTTAAAAAGACTTTGTATTTAAATGAGAAAGGAAAAACTTAATGTTTTCAGCTCCATGGCCATGGTGTCAAACTGCCTTTGGTACAGAAAGTTAACAAATATTTCCATGTAGCATCTGACAACAGGAATCAACAACATGTGAAACTTTTTTGTTATTACTTAAAAAAATAATGTCAGTAGTTGGCTGCAGGAAAGGAGCTAGAAAAACTGGTAGAAATAACCATGAAAATTCTTATGTTCTGATAGAGCTCACTGCTTTCTCTGTTTGTGGGATGTCATTGAGGAGCAAAGAAACCAAGCAGACCCAGTGTATTTGGCTTGCAGTTGTAGAGAGCCCCATCTTCAGAAAACAGATAAGACCTTAAAGAAAAAAAAAATCTAATCCTATTCTCTCCAATTTCCAAAAGAAAGATTTTGAGTTTGGAAGCTGGGGGGAGCATTATGGGGGAAAGAGAGGAGGAAGAGGGTAGTTCTTAGGACTGTTAGGAAGAGAAAGGCAAGGCCTTGTCTTACCCTGGACTTTCACAGGGTAAATTAATTCTGATTACCCAGGGTAATTGCTGATTACCCAGCAATCAGAGATTTAATCTAAAAGAGTAAGATGCACACATCCACCTGTGTGTTTGTGTACCTACACACACACACTCTTTGGAGAGAAGATACTTGAGTCTTGGCAGGTTATAAGCAAGGCTGAAACCACAGGCTGTCTAATTCTGCAGGAAAAGGAAACAATGCATCCACCTCTCCTTGCAACTTTTGGTATTAAGTGCTGATCTTTCTTCCAGCATGTTAAAGGATTCCATGTAAACATGAAACTCCAGAGCTGGGCTCGTTGCTCCCCATAACTACAACCCCTCGAAATACAACACTAACTGCCTTTGAAACATTAGTGGGTTTGTGCCTAAGTCTTATGTGAAGACACAGTCCAGCAAGCTGGTAAGGCCAGTTTGGGCAAACAAGGAAGGAACAAAGTATCTTTGGATTCAAAGCATGCAGGTATTGCCCAACCACTACCCAGGGCTACCAGAGAAACACCAGCCAGCAGCCCCCTCCAGCAGGCAGCACACCCACCCAGCAGCACCTTCCCTTCCTCAGAAGCCCTCAGTAAGGAAAGAGAAGGAAGTGCACAGACAAACCTGGCCCCCCTGAGCACTTGCCTGCCTGGTTGCACCACACATTTGAGCACTGAGAGAACCTTCCAAACCTGCAGAACCGGACCAGGCCCTGCCGAGCTCACAAAGGGGCCCCTCCTGTGCCAGGGCCACAGCACCCACTGCCAGTGCCAACACACATCCTACCACTGGCCTCAGGGTTCACTCCATCCTCTAGTGAACCTCGGAAGACAGATGGAGTCCAGTCTGAAAAAATAGGTACAGGAAAGCAAAGCAACACCATTTCTCTAAAGCAGGTCTGTTTTGATTTTTTTTAGCTTAGAAGCCAGATTTAGAAGCTCATCTTATTGTCCATTTGCCCTTAAATGACAGATCAGTCCTTATACAGAAGTAATTACTGGCCAACTAATAGTATGAGACATTCCATATCCTACCTCCCAACCCCTAGCAAGGTCAGGATGGTCAGAAGAGACCCCAAGAGCCCAGAGACCACTCCACTATGCACAGGGGAGGGCCAGTGTTAGCCCAAGCTGTGCTGAACTGGTGCTCTGTCTTATCCATGAATCAGAGATCAGAGCTTTTAAAGGTATTTATTAACATAAAGAATGCAATCATTGATTGCTTTCTTGCCATAGCAGGTTTTATTAATCATTAGCTACTGTATTATAGCTTTATCATAAAAATACAAGTCAGTTTGCTAATAAAACCTGTAAAGGAGAATGCTTCCCCTACAATCTTCGTGGACAAGTTCTGCAAGCAAGAAGAGCTGCGATGAGTTAGTATTATTATTATTATTTAAATTCTGGTAACATTTTATCAAGTTTAGAAAGAACATTTCAGAAAAAAAAGACACAGAAATTTCTTACTACCTCCAACCCTAAAGGGTGGTTTCTGACTTCTCCTCTGCAAGACAAAGTCATCCTAGGAGGAACTGCACATGAATCCACGAGAAATGCACCACAGCCACAGGTCTGACAGGTAATTCATTACCTTTGGAGTTATTTGGGAGTGTGGTGGCTACTCACTTGCTCAGTGCATTTTGAGGTGATAAAACATTTATGCGGATGTTACTGATCAGCCCAGGATTTAATATATTTTTATTTTGAAAAGGTAACATATCAAAACATTTCAAATTAGGTCTTGAGTTAAAGGTAGTACAGGCTGTACTTTACATATAACGATTTGTAAGAGAAAGATGATAACAAAGGCAATCATTTAAAATCAGGTTTCAAGAATTAGGGCTGGTTTTTGTAACATTCCTCTGAGGTCACAGAAATACTGTCTTTATAACATACTATTTATGCTAGGTTTTAATAAATACAATCTTACAGTGCAAGTAGAAGCACTTTTGAGAAAGTGCCTGCTACAAAGTGGAATTCAACAATTTAAAAGAAATAGCTTGTAACTGCATGATTAAACATCAGTTAGTGCTTTGCTTTCATTCCCTTATGATTCAGAACATCCTTATTTCACTTGTTTTCAGGATCAGTGAAATTGACTTTTTAATGCAAAACAAGTAATATAAGCTTAAAAAACCAAATCTCTTTAGACTTTTTTTGCTGCTGACTACGGTGAAGAAAGAAGTCGCCTTCTTTTCCTTTTGATCATCATTTCTAAAAGTGAAGTTTTCTCTTTTCAAAGTCTGAGCAGGTACCATGAGCAGATGGTTTCTGCGTCTTTCTCTACCCTCCCAAATGACTGGAGTGCAAGAAATATGATGAGTGTTAAAGCACTCTGAAGAAACTGAGCTCGAAATGGGCTGAGCTAGCTGGTGGCTTCTTTTGTCTGCGAGAACGCTGGAACTGTCATTGTGTGCTTGGCACTCAGGCTGCATATCAACAGCACCCTGAGAATGAACTTTAATCTCACAGTCTGCCCACTCATTTATTTGGAAATGAGACTGTAATGGAACTTCATTCTTCCCCTGCAGCACGTGCACCCAGCCCTAAGTACCTCACCGAGAACAACCTTTGACAGACAATAACAAAGACCGGAGTTTACCACGGCCAACGCACCTTGATCTGAGTAATTCATTTACAGGCTGCATCTGTGATCACAGGCAGGGTCAGCGACAGAAACATTGGCTCAGGCTGTGTCACAGCTGGAGTCACTCCACTTCTGAGACAGACACAACAATATCCTCTATTGATCTATCAAAGTTCAACGGTAAATGCGACAGTGGTTTAACAAGACTCGACAGCAAGGTAGGCTTGACTTAGCGCACAGAGAACAAGGTGAGACAGAACTGGTGGGGAGACCCTCTTGTTAAGTCACAGGATTCTAAACCTCGCAGAGAGGAGTCAAGGTGCAGCTAGACCCACTGCTAGTCCTGGATTTGCTCAACTGCCTGTGTCTAAAGGATTGTACATGTGCAGTCAGTCCTCAGCCAAGATTTCAAAGCTGAGCACACTGTTAGTCACTTACCAAGAATCTGTTGTGGCAAGGAATCTCTGGACCTCAAGGAGTAACTGTGAGAGGCGTCCCTACCCACGGGGAGATCCAGGTGTGCAGCTCCACTGCTGTGGAGTAGAGTTCAAGATCATTGATGTACAGTTACATCTGCACATCAGCAAGACCTCTGTGTCACCATTCCAGGCAGCCCTTGGCTATCACATTGCCATCTGTCCCCCAGTGTCCAATTAAACTGGATGCCACCATCACAGCCCCCGCTTAAGGGTCTGGCAGTGTAGGTTTAGTTAAAAAGTAAACTTGCAGATGAATTTTTACCAGTTGCGAAGAGCATCTGTTCATTTCTTTGCCATCTTTTTTTCTTTTAGGTAGGCTATGGATTCCTGGAAGGAAGCCATAAGCCACAGCTGGATTTATCCCACAGTGATCATCTGTGCAAATGGATTTTTCGCCACAATGAGGCCATCAGAGTCTTTTCTCACCCCTTATCTAACGGGGCCAGACAAAAACCTAACGATTGAAGAGGTATGTAATTATTCTCTTAAGTAATAATTAAAATGCTTAAAGCATTAACTGAAGGGAACATGAAGTGTTCAATAATACAGATATATTTTATCTAGAGTCTCATGTTTAAGATGCTTCTGGGAAAGAGTAAGGAGTCACCTTTTTGGTAGAAGGTCAAAACATTAAAGACCCCACCTTATTAAGACTTTGAAGCCCTTTGGCAGTTGTTTAAGAGACTGGTATTTTTGGCAAAATCAGGTCAGCTAGCTCCTCTCTCCAATGTAGAACCCCAGAGGAGGGGCAACACTGACATTTATTTATACTTATCATGGAACTGATTACACTGACAGTAACACACTGATAGCAAATCATAAGAAAACTAAACAACCTTCCCCTTATGAGCTGTTAAAATTATTACCTACATTGCTGGGATGTTTTATGCATTCATTAACCTGTGGAGGTCAGGTTCACATTCAGAAAAGTTGAGGTTTTTTTGAAAAAAGCATGCACTGCAAGTTTTCTTGCTCTGCTCCTCTGCTCAGCACTGGCTGCTTCAAGAGTACACTTCCCAGGAAAAGGTGACATAGTTGACACGTGGCTGAGTCATGGAGCTAACAGTATAATTAGAAAACACAAGCTTGGTACACCCACATACAGCTAATATGAAGAACAGTCATTCCTGCTGCACAGTAGCAAATGTTAAGGCAGAATCTACCAGCATACCCAAGGTTTCTTCTGAGAAATGGTATTTGTGGTTTAAGTCATTAGGGTTTATTTTCTCCCCCTTTTTTATTACTATTCTTTTTTAATCACAAAGGGAAGTTTTTATCTCTCATATAAAATACACAACGAGGATCACAGAATGCCTTAATTCTGATTTCAACAAGAATCCTTAACTCAAAAATAAGCGTAGTACAGATAATAGTTCTTTCAGCCAAACTCATCTCCAGTGAGCTAATTCTATAACGCAATTTTAAGTCAAACACTTAGAAATTCTAATTAAAGTTCAGAGAAACAAAAAAAGTCACACAGAAAGATACAGTGATCCAGCTGCTCACCATGCAACTCACTCCAGTACCTGTTCAGAAGTAAAAAGATGGCCATCTACTATTGTCCTCCAGCATTTCATACAGTTCCTTTCTAGTCTCTGTTTAAGCAGAGAACAAGTGATCAGGAATGGACACCCCCAGCAGAGCCCATAATTACTGGGCGAGACCTCCCCAAAACAGCCAACTTACAGAAAAAGCTCATTTTATGATGTCCATCTAAAAGCAGACACCTGACCTAGGTGTACCCAAACTGCCTGGGCAAGCACTGAGCTTTAGTGGTGACTGCAAACAGCACCTCTTCCAACCCAAATGCAGAACAGTTTTAGAAAAAAGAGAAAGAATTTCTTTTCAGAGCATCTATATACTCAAGTCCAGCTGAAACTTACTGAAGTACTGTTTCCTCAAAGACTTGCTTACTTCTTACACATTAAACTGAAAGAAAACATAGAAGGTGCAGATAACCTGGTAGCAGCTACACATTCACTATGTGCAGTTCCAGTTACATTGTACAAAGCACGTGCTGGTTTTTTCAGTCCAATTTTAACAAGGGGAAGAGGTAACCAAAGGTATACAATGACTCATGTAAAAAGTTAAAACTAAACAGAGGTTCATTTCCAGCTACTGTGGGGAATAGGATTTGAAGCTAGACAGCCTTTCCTCTGACACACAATTACAACTGCTTTAAAGAGCCAGATATCAAAATCTACCTTCTTTATAGGCTTTTACTGGAATTTTTAAGCCAATCCACCTGTTTCTGTAGCAGAGTGTAGCATCACTATATTTGCCCCTTATGTAGTACATTTACAGTAACGTAACTGAAAGCAGTTTAAGTCTGCACTGTTCACATAATTCAGTGTTTCCTGTAACCACAACTATGTTGTTTCCTCAATAACAGAACTGTAAATCTAAAAAATCAGTATTTTATGTGTTTTTGGTTTTTTGTTTTTTTTTTTTTTTAAATATTTCCTTCTTTCTTCTGCTCTAGGTTACCAACCAGATTTTGCCTGTTTGGACATACTCCTACCTCGCTCTCCTGTTCCCAGTCTTCCTGCTCACAGATTACCTGCGCTACAAGCCCGTCCTCCTCCTCCAGGGCATCAGCCTCATCGTCACCTGGCTCCTGCTCCTCTTTGCACACGGAGTGCTGGCCATGCAGGTGGTGGAATTCTTCTACGGCATGGTGACGGCCACTGAGGTGGCCTATTACGCCTACATCTACAGCGTGGTCAGCACCGACCGCTACCAGAGGGTGACGAGCTACTGCAGGAGCAGCACTCTGGTGGCAGCCACTGTTGCTGCCGTGCTGGGACAGCTGCTGGTGTCCTTGGCAGATGTGTCCTACTTCTACCTCAACGCCATTTCTCTGGCTTCCGTGGCGCTGGCGTTCCTGTGTGCCTTTTTCCTCCCCATGCCCCAGAAGAGCATGTTCTTCCACAGGAAAGACGCCTCCCAGTCTCTCCCAGGGCCTGACAAAGTTGTGGCTCCGGCCGGTTCTGACCGTCCCTCGAGCTGCCAAGAGGACACGAGCTCCGACTCCGCTGGCAGGGGCCCAACACCCCAACAGCAGGCTGGGAATGCCAAGCCCCGGAATCACATGCTCAGAGTGCTGGTGCAGCTGAGCAAGGACCTGAGGGATTGCTACAGCTCCAGGAAACTTCTCTACTGGTCCCTGTGGTGGGCTCTGGCTACGGCCGGCTTT